CATCAGTTCTCAGATCGCAGGGTGCTGATTAGCTGCCGACTTTGAGAAGGAAGAGGAGGAGGGGGAGGAGGAGGAGGAGGAGGAAGAGGAGGGAACGAGGAGGAGGAGGAGGAGAAGGAGGAGGAAGAGGAGGAGGATGCGAGGAGGAGGAGGAGAAGGAGGAGGAAGAGGAGGAGGATGCGAGGAGGAGGAGGATGAGAGGAGGGGCTGATGATGATGAGGAGGAGGAGGAGGAGGAGGAAGAGGAGGATGAGGAGGAGGAGGAGGAAAAGGAGGAAAACGAGGAGGAGGACGAGGACGACGAGCAGGATGTGGAGGAGGAGGAGGAGGGAAGTGGAGGAGGGAGGAGGGACGAGGAGGAGACGGGTTTACAGCAAATGTGCGCTGCGATGAGGAGGAGTCAGGTTTTCTCTGTCTGCATGGCAGACGACCCCGATCCGAGGGCTCCTCTGCAGGATAATCTTCAGCGCGGCGTTGGCCTTCACGGCAGCTCTCCGGGCAGTGCCGCCGTTGGGGCTCGCGGGGGCGTTGGCCAAAATCCGCACGTTGAAGGGTTGCTCGCCAGCGCGACGCGCGGCAAGCAGTTTGGATTTCACGGTAGCCTTTTGGGCGACGCCCCACGCGCACATCCTTGCAGACGACGCGCGCGCGCGACGCCGCCGCTCCTGGCCAGGGCGCACATTTGGGTGAACGCGTGGCGCCAGATTCTCTGGGATGAAACCGAGAAGGCCTAGAACCATGTGCACTCCAAGGTGGCTCTTGCCATGGTGTTGGTGGCGTACGTGCGCCGCGCCCCACAACCTCGCCAAGCGGGGCTTCTGCGCGGAGCTGGCCTTCAAGAGCAGGTAGGTGGCTCCAGCGCGAAAGAAATCCAAACGGCGATCCCGGGCCACGCCGACTGTGAGATCCTTGAACGCCCTGGCGCCCCCCCTCCGCGCCCACGCCGCCTGCCCAAGGGCGCCGCTGTAAGCTCTCAGGCGCCGTGGCGTGCGCTGCATCTCCACGTTGTGATTCAAAAAGAGCTGGAACACAGAGAGTCCACGGGTGAGCACGCGCCGATAATTACTCGACGCCCGCTTAGCCGGCAACGCCGTCGACATGTCCCCCGCCGCAGCGACCACAGCAAGCATTGCGAGCAACAGGCGGGAGGCGCGCGCCATCAAGCGATGGCACAAGCCTGGGCGCAAGCTCACCAGGCGCCGCGCGGGCATACTGAGGTCGAGGCGGGCGGTTCTCCGCGGCGGTCGAGTGCGCGGCTTGCGCACGGTTTGGACCCAGAAGGTCCAGCTGCATTACAGGGGATTCCTCCAGCCAAAGCGCCAGGAGGGTCTCTGGCGTTGGAGGGAGGTCGCCCTGGCATTGCACGCGGCAGGGATCCCTGTGCACTCGTTCACCATCCCCGTGGAACGCCTCTGGGCATCGATGTTGGACATGTTTCCATCCAGCGCGCGGCTGATGTCGCGTGCGTGGTTCGATGTCCTCGCCGCCCTAGCGCTTTTGAGGTACAACTACAGGCACTTCCACGTCCGCCTCCTCCCAACGTGGGCGGAGGCCGATTCGCTCCTGGCGGAACGCCTCGATAATTTGTCGACGGCGGCCCACGCTCTCAGCATGTGGGCGGAGCCCGAGGAGGATTCGGTCCGCTTTTCACGCCGTTCAGCGAGGATGTTGCCCCTGTGGCGGCTGCGCCTGGCTGAATTGCAAACCTCATTATTTTTTTAAAGAGTTCATGCTGAAACTTCGCCCCTCCTCCCTCTCACCGCCCCTTGCTGCGCGATGTTATTAAACCCTTTCGGTGCTTTTCTATAGATGCCAGTTCGGGGTAACGTTTGTGGGAGGCTCGTGGGAGGCCTCTTTCTCGTGGGAACGCGGGGGCTCGAGGCTCGGGGGGCTCGTGGGAGGCCTCTTTCTTTGGTTCCTCCCTCTCTCCCTCCCTTTGCTCGGTTCCCTCTCCCTCCCTTTGCTCCCCCCCTCTCTCCAGCCAGCCCTTCCTCCTCCGCTTTCTCCCTGCCGGGCGGGCCATGTAAGGTGCGCAACGCAGTGCCGCGTGGCATCAAGACAGCTCCTGCTCCTCCTCCTCATCGTCCTCCTCGTTCCCTCCTCTCTCCTCTTACTTCTCCTACCAGGTCCGCCTCCTCCGCCTCCTCCTCCTCCTCCTCATCCTCCTCCTCCTCCTCCTCCTCCTCCGCCTCCTCCTCCTCCTCCCCCTCTTCCTTCTCTTCGCTCCCTCCTCCCGCCTCCCTCCTCCTCCTCCTCCTCCTCCTCCTCCTCCTCCTCCTCTTCCCCCTCCTCCTCCACCTCCTTCTCCTCCTCTTCCTCCACCTCCGCCTCCTCCCCCAGGTCTGGAACTTATGGAATGGGCTGGAACCTTTGGTATTTTGAGATCTTCTGGGATTTCTGGGATTTCTGGAATTTCTTGAATTTCTGGAATTTTTGTTGGGATTTTTGGAATTGCTGGATTTCTGGGATTTTTGGATTTTTTTTTTGATTTTTTGGAATTTCTGGAATGTTTGGAATTTTTGGGGTTGCCAGATATTCCAGAAATTCCAAAAATTCCAAAAATTCCAGACATTCCACACATTCCAGAATTCCAAACATTCCAGAAATTCCAGAAATTCCAAACATTCCAAACATCCAGAAATTCCTGAAATTCTTGAAATTCCAGCAATTCCAGAAATTCCAGACATTCCACACATTCCAGAATTCCAGACATTCCAGAAATTCCAAAAAATCCAGAAATTCCAAAAATTCTCAAAATCCAGAAATTCCAGAAATTCCAGAAATTCCTGAGAATAGCGGCCCGCCGGTGGCTCGCACTGAAAAAAACGAATATAATACTATTCCAACTCTATCTTGATCATGCAGTTCGTAGATCGCCTTCTGCTGGTTGAGAAAGTGCTTGATACCCGGCTGATCTTCTTGATGATCTGGAGGGTTGGCCGCCTGGGCTGGTAGTGCTATTGCTTCATCTCCTCGATGCTGTATACCGTCTCTGACATGTGTGAACGACATCGCTGCGGTGAAGGGTGCTCCTTGAAGTCGTGAGACTATGAGCGGTCCAATCATTTCGTATTCATTTTCTTCAGTGATCCTCCACCGCAGCTTCAGCTTCTGCATATATCCCCTGGACGTGTAGCCTTTGATGTGCGGGCGCCATCCAGGTGGCACGAACTTCGTGAACTCCTCGAGCTGAAGTGTGCCCTGAGGTCGATATCCGCCTTGCTGCTGGTACGCCATGCTGGCGTTGAAAAAGAGAAAGAAGTAGAAAACAGTGCCGTGAGTCAGGCGTGCTCGCCTGCTGGTACTTGTCGCACTTGGAGTGCTTGTCCTAGCACTCGTAGATCTTCGTGAAGGTCGACGGGAGGCCGTCGAAGTCGTGAACGCTGTAGCTGATTTCAAATTCGCCTGCGGAGGCGCGGGCATGCGCGGCGCTGGCCGCGCGGAGGGCCGGCCGACCGGAGGAGGTTGGCCCGCGGAGCTTCGGCCCCGCTACCAAAGCGGGCATTTTACTCGCCCTGAGCCACAATAGTATTACGATCTGCGGCTATAAAAACAGCAGCCAAGGGCATTCTGGCCTATCCGGCGGTGGCGACGTAGGGCGCCTCTGAAACACCTCTGAAGTCTACCTCGCTCGCCCTTCTTACCAGGGCCCATACTACTCATATTCTCACTGGAGGAGGAAGAGGAGGAGGAGGAGGGAGAGGAGGAGGAGGAGGAGGAGGAGGAGGAGGAGGAGAGAGGAGGAGGAAGAGGGAGGAGGAGGAGGAGGAGGAGGAAATGCATCCTTTGTGTGCCCGCTCGAAGAAAGTGCGCCCCGGGAGTGTGATATTCTGACTTGGGACGTGCTCCCGGAAACGGAAGAAGTGCATCTCGGGCGTGCCCGCTCGAGGAACATGCGCCCCAAGGGGGTGGTATTTTGACTCGGGGCCCGCTCCCGGGACGCCTCTGCGGGAGGAGGAGGAGGAGGAGGAGGAGGAGGAGGAGGAGGAGGAGGAGGAGGAGGAAAAGGAGGAGAGGAGCAGGAGGAGGTGGAGGAGGAAAAGGCGGAGGAGGAGGACCAGGAGGAGGAGGAGGAAGTGCATCCCGTGCGTGCCCGCTCGAGGAAAGTGCGCCCCGGCGGGCGTCGTATCTGCCCCGGCCCCGGCCCCCCCCCTGCGGGGAAGGGATCAAAGGGAAGGGGTTTCCCTTCGACTCCACTACGACGTCGTTTAATTTCGCTTTGGATAGCGCGCTTGAGGTGAAGAGCCCTGGGAGGGGGAGAGCGGAGACGACGGAAACGACGAATCGAACGGAGAAACCCTTCACACACGCCGACAGGGTCGGCGGATTTGCGCACCGCGACCGCCACCATTATCATGCGGCCATCGTCGTCGTCCCCGTGATAGCTATAATCGTGACCATTCAATTCCGTGTTTTGTCGGCCATGCGTGCTACACAATCCTCAGACGTTAACGCCCAGTGTGCCATTTTATATTCTTCGCTAGTGGCATATATTCTCCCAGTGAGCACTACCACGCGTGAGCACAACCTCGAGGGCGGGTTGTGCCACGGGGACTGTCCTGTTCCAACTGCGCACGCTCGCTTTCCAGCCTCGTCTGCTGTCCTGAGACCTCGTCAATCCCGCCCTCCCCTTTCCCTCACCCACCTCCCACCTTTCACTTCGCCCTCTTTCTGCTGTTGCTGCTGCCTTCCCCTTGCCCTCGCCCTCCTCGTTAGATGTTCGTTTTGGGGTCCTTGCCGGGGCCCACCTAACGGATCTGTTCGAGTCTAGTTTGTTTCTAATTCGACCCAGGTTCGACTCAAAGTCGACGGGCCTTAGACGCACGATAGGGGCGATAGTCTCCAGCAAGGTCGCCAGGCCGAGCATCTGACCCTCCCACTTCTCCTAGCCCCCTCCCCCCCACCTTTCCCTCGCGAGGCTCACGCAGGGTGGTCCACCTCGCCCTGCGCGGGGTGACGGGTGACGGCCCCGCGAGAGTGCCCTGCCCCCCCCCCCCCAGGAACTGAAGGAACTCCCGAACCTGGAGAAGACCAGGCCCCGCCGTCGCCGCCGCCGCCGCCGCCGTCGTCGTCGTCGTCGTCGCCGCCGCCGCCGCCACCGCCGCCGCCGTCGTCGTCGTCGTCGTCGTCGTCGTCGTCGTCGTCGTCGTTGCTGGGGAGCGGGTCGGCTGCGATGCGGGGCACGAGCAGAGCGGTCCAGGGCCCCTTCCGGCGTTTCAGGTGCTAGGGGGCGGCGGGCCTCTCTGCCCGCGGGCCTCCGATGGGGGCCCGTCCTCGGGCCCCGTGGGCGTTGCGATGCGGAGTCCGTGCGAGAACCTGTGGGGGTCGAGAGCCCCAGGGCTCGGGGCAGAGAGCCCGATGATCCTCAGGGCGTGTGCTGGCCGAGTGTGTGTGTGTGTTTATCCCGTTCGGTCCATCGTTACATCGGCTGTACCCTCTTGAAGGTCTTCGGTGGACAAGCGCACGTTCGCGCTAACACACGTTCTGACCAGCGGCGAGCCCCGGGGAGAAAGCGAGAGGGGGCGGGCCTTCTCAGAAGGCTCGGAAGTCTCCCAGCCTTCTGAGAAGTTTTCCAACCCAGCAGGCCCCGCCTTCGGGCACGAAGGCAGGAGGGTGTGCTGGAAGAGGGGAGGGCCCTCCTCCTCCTCCTCCTCTTCCTCCTCCTCCTCCTCCTCCTCCTCCTCCTACTCCTCCAACCCCTCGTCCCTCCTCCCTCCTCCCTCCTCCCTCCCCACCTCCACCTCCTCCCTCGTCCCTCCTCCCTCCTCCCTCCACCTCCTACCTCTTCTCCTCCCACCTCCCACTTCCCTCTCCTTCCTCCCACTTCCTCCTCCTCCTCCTCCTCCTCCTCCTACTCCCACTTCCCTCTCCTCCTCCTCCTGCTGCTGCTGCTTCTCCTCCTCCTCCTTCTCCTCCTCCGCCTCCTCCTCAGCCTTCTGCTCCTTTCCCTCCTTCCTCCTTGAAGGGATGGGCAGATGTGTTGTTTTGCTACCCGTGCTTGCGGCCGCGGGAGGCTCTGCTTCGCGTTCCTGCGCGGGAAGTGCGACGACAGAAACTGCAGGCGGGTCCTGCGTGTTTCACCTTGTGCAGTCGCTCGCTCGCCCACAGTGTGTTCACGATTCCTCTCCGAGGTTTGTCCACGGTTGATGCGAACTTTATTGAAGGCTAAAGGAGTAAGATTGATAGGATCATGTGGAGGAGGTGACCGAGGAGTCGGAGGAGGCGATCGATGATTCTGAGGATGCTGAATTGTAGCAAAAAGGGGGGCGGGACTGTCGTGTAGTCCGTTTCCCTTTCGTTGCTCCTTTGCTTCCGGCTTGTCCTTCCCACCCGCCCGCGATCCCGTCATTGTCTTTCGTCCTGTCGTCCTGCGTCGCCTGATGAGCGCCCTCCCCGCCTGCGGCTTCGCTTCCTTCCTTTCCTTTCCGTTTCCTTAGTTTGTTGTTCCCCGCCATCCTGTGGTGTTGGGTCCTCGTTTTGAGGAGACAGCGGCCCGCGTTCTCCTTCTTCCTCCTCCTCCTCCTTCTCCGGCTGCCCCCTCCGTTCTCCCATCCCTGCCCTCCGCATGTCGATTTCGATACACCCCTCATACGTTTTATGCCCCCATAGGGAGCTCCACCGAAGGCCACAGTGGCAGGGTTTACATGCGTCTGCGCGACCCATGTCGGGACACCCCTCACCTGCTTCGTGGCCCCATCGGGAGCTCCACCGAATGCCACAGTGGCTGGCAGTGTTTGCACGCGTCCGCGCGACCCATGTTCATACGCCCCTCACACGTTTTGTGGCCCATAGGGAGCTCCACCGAGGGCCCCAGTGGCAGGGTTTACATGCGTCCGGACGACCCATGTTGGCGTTTTGTGGCTCCATAGGGACTCCACCGAAGGCCCCAGTGGCCATGTTCGCAAGCGGCAGCCCACCCATTTCGGTACACCTCTCACACGTTTCGTGGCCCAACAGAGAGCTCCAATGTAGGCGATGCGCACAAAGACGGCGCTCGTAACTGCATATAGTTGGGTCCTTCGCCAGGCTATTTTTGTGCTGGGATCGGCTGAGAATCGCAGGTAGCATGTGATTGCATCGCGATGCGTGGGAGGGCGGGGTGCCATCGTTGAGCCTGTGCTTCGCTCGCCGTGCCGCTCGTGGCCATTTGGGGTCGAGCGCCAAACCGGCAAGTCTTCAGGCATCGGGTCATTTTGAGCCTGTCGATCGTGATCGAGGCGCTTGCTGCGCCAACCGATCCAGCATGGCTGAGCCAGTCACTCCAGGCAGCAGCTGAGTATGGAGTCGCAGCGATGGCCGGGGCCGAAGTTGGAGGATCAGGGGAGGCCCCGACCGTCCATCCACGTTAGCCTCCGGCTAAGGGCATGCAGGGTGGGGGCCTTCTTTACTCCATGGCGGTCAATGCGTTGGGCTTCAACGTGGACCAGCAGTCCTCCTTCATCGTATTTTTGGAGGGGGACTGGGACCACACCACACTCACCGAGGTCTTCCAGGTCACTGAGCACGACCTGACGCAGGCACTGGACAGGATGACGGTGAATGGTGCTCCTCTTGGGGCCATTCCGAAAGGAGCTTTTCGGTCCGATCTTCGTCGGTTGGCCGAGTTCGCCGGCTACGAGCCTCCGCAATTGGGCGGCCGTCAGCCCAAGGTCGTGGCCGCGGCGCCCAAGGCCAAGGCGGAGCCGAGGCCGCAGAGCCCGGATGCCGCCCCCAACAAACACTCGTTCTCTACTGTGCTTCTGCAGGGGGACACGGGTCAAGTCAACGAATTGCCAGCGCCAGTCGTGCGCAAGCTGCGTGACGCCTACGAGGACGTCCACGGCGGCCCGCCGCGGGACTACGAGGAACCTTGCAGCTATCCGCATTGGCCGCTAAGCTGGCCACCGACTCGGCTCCAGTGGTCGACATGGCTGTGAACGGCCCGTTCGGGAAGAGGTTGCAGAAGCTGATGCAGTTCAACTCCGATGTGCAGGTGGGCGATTCTTCGATGCGACGCAAGATGTTTGGCCCGGGCGATTTCGAGACTAGGAGGAATGGCTGGCGCGTCTAAAGGACAGCGGCCCTCATCGTCAAACTCGCGACAGGGCCCCTCGATGATTTCGAGGAGGGCGTCCAGCGTCCCTCCCCGGCTTTTCCAAGGCATTTTGGGTTTGATCTACGTCACAGTCGGCCACATGATCGAGGAGCGCTGGGCCCAGATCAGGTCTCGCATCGAGCGCTTGGTCAAGAAGGGCACCTTCCAGGGCGATTTCGACGAGCCTAAGCCGTGGGCGGCCGTGCTGACGTTCTCCGCTTGCGGGTCCAGTTCCGACGAGAATTGGCGGGAGACGCACCTCGAGCTTCCGTGCCTCGCAGCCCCGGGGGGGCTCGGCTGGCGCGGCGTCGCGCGCCGCGGTCCTCGAGGGGTCCACACGGGCCGTCGAGGTGGCTGAGCAGGAGTCAGCGGCCATGCGGCCCTGGGCTTCGGGCCCTGGCGCGGGCCTCCCCTCTGGCGGGCAGTCTGCGGCCCCCTGGTCTGCGAAGAAGCAGAACCTCCTGCGCCGATCGCCCGAAGAAGACCGAGGCGAGTGGCAGGCGCCCAGATGGCCGGCACCTCCGCCGCATGGGGTTTTGAGCTGTGTTTCGCATGGGACCGCAGCGGCGCGGGTTGTTCGTGGCCGTGCGCGGCTACGCCGGCGCGGTGGCACCTGTGCGAGTGGTTTCGACGACAGCTGCCCGGCGCAGAGCAGGCCCAGCGAGTGGCGCCTGGAGCAGCCGGCGGGCAAGGGCGGCCGCGGCAATCGGCCGGGTCGCAAGGGCACCCGAGGGTGATCACCAGGCGTGGCAGCCATTGCGCGGAGACGCGCCCGCGCGTCCGGCACCTGTACGCGCGCGGCCACTCCGGATGATATGTCCAGCAAGCGCAGACTCATTTGTGCGTCCAGTGCTTGTACAAGCACGGCCACTTCAGCTACGCCGCCTACTTCAAAACCTCCCTCATTGACTTCCTTATCAACCGTTATCGCATCGCATGTCATGGTGGAGGTGGAGGAGGAAAAGGATGAGAGGGAGGAGGACAATGAGGGACGTCACGATGAACGTCGTGGGGAGCGTCAGCACGTTCTTCGCTCTGCAGTGGACCCTGGGGTCGGGCGCGCGCGCGCGCCCTGGGCCGTCGGCGTCTTGTCTGGAGCGCTCCCGCCAAGCTGTCGTGCGGCTTCGCGTTGTGCAGCAGCTGTCTCATGTGCGAGACGCCCGGGCGCGGCTCGCTCGGCCTCGCCGCCGCCCCCGCGCAGCCGGCTGCAGAGTAGCACTGTTCGAGTTGGCAGACGGCTCCGCTGCGCGTTTCGCGGATGCGTCGCGCCGGCTGCCAGGCGTGGCCACGCGCGCCTCGGACATCGAGGCTGGCGCAGCCAGCTTCTTGAACGCGGAGGTCGTCGAGGAAATCCAGGCCCGAATCTTATCTTGCCACTGGGCTGGGTACCTCGTCACCGCGTGCGCGTGTCCGCCTGGGGCGACGTTTTCACGTGCCCAAGACAGGGTCGCACGCGCGCGGGTCCGGTCTGTCCAGAGACCGCGGGGTGTCGAGCCGCGCTCGCAGCGGGTCGTCGAGGCGAGCGCCATCTTCGTCGAGATGCTGAGCCTTCTGGCGCGGGTCGTCGAGCGCTGCCGCGCGTGGGTCACGTTGGCGCGCCCTGCTCGTTCTGACCTCTGGTCGTTGCCGCTGGCCGAGGAGCTCTTGAAAGCCAGCTTCGTGGGTCAGATTTTCAACCCCGCGCTGTTATTGTCGGGGCTTCCGCCGGCCCGTCAGGCTCCGATGCTGCCCGCTGCCGCCGCCAAGCCTGTCGACCCGCTGCGGGGCGGCGGGCGTCGAGGCGGCCAACTCGTGCGCGCCCGGGCCTGTCGGCAGCATCGCGGAAGAGACTTTTCGCGCTGGCGGCGCGTTCAGGCTGGTCTCTGTTCTGGACGGAGCGGCAGCCGCCTGGGTGGACGACGTGCGTTGCGAGGTCTTGCGCTGTCTGTGTCCAGCGCCGACCGGCGCCCGCGACGCAGACGCGCGGCCGCGGTGACGAGGTTGCTGAGCGCGAGGCCCGCGCGCACGAGGGCGCCCAGCGTGCGGCTGGGATTGCTCTGGTGCTGGCATCTTGGCCACAACTGCCGCGCGGCCTCGAAGGTGTCAGCGAGGCGCTGGCCATTGCAAGGGCCAGGGGCGGCGAGCTCGCAAGCCCGGCGGCTGCCTGCGGCCGCGCGCCAACCGGGGCGCCACCGAGCGACGCGGCTTTGAGTCTGGCCCGGACCTGGGTCGCTGAAGCACTCGGTCTCCCTGGCGACGCGCCGAGTTATGCCGCCCGGCTTCGAAATTGCGCTACCGCGTCGAGTAATTAGGCGTTTGCCCAGACAACCGAGGACCACCCGCTAGTGGAATGGCTTCAACGCGGAGCACCCATGGGGGTCTTTGAGGGGTTCTGGAGCTGAGGCGACCATGGATGCAGGTTCCCTGGCCAGAGGGTGCCACGGTGGCCATCCATCCTTCAGCGATGCGCGCGGTGACGCTTGGCCGCCCGCGCGCGACCTCATCCGCGAGTATTTGGCGAGAGGATTCGGCGCTCGGCTTGCGTCGCGACGAGAGGCCGAACTTCAGCATGGCCGCGGTTCCCCGGCGCCCCGCGGGCAGGTGGCCGTCCGGCGCTTCTTCGCGGCAGCGGGGTTATTCAATGCCTTGGTGTCTATTAAGCGTGAGGGTCGAGAGTGCGCGCCTGCGGGGGCGCCGTTCCCGATGCAGCTTTCGGTCCGCAGGGCGTCTGACCTGGAGGCCCTCGGCAGGTCGCATTGCCACGTCGAGTTCGACGCCTCTCCGTGGGGCGGCGGTGCTGTCCTCGTGGGAGGCTTCCGGGTGGTAGAGTACTGTGCTGTCACTTGGGGCAGAGACGTGCTCGCTATTTCTGACGCGGTCTCTGGGGGCTCGCGCTGGCAGAGCTGCTGGGGGTATCTCACGCTCCTGCTCTCCTTGATCGCGTGGAAGCACCGCGCCGTCAAGGAGGTGTTCTTCTTGCTTGACGATCACATTGCAGCGCTGCAGGA